GGGGGGGGGGGTTCGACCGCATTTTACGGTGGTACGTCACGGTAACTAGGCCGAGCTCGACGAGGAGGTCGATGGGTGGGTGGACGAGATCGTGTTCATGCCCTGTCCTGAGGCATGGACGTGGCCCGAACGCTGCGAGGCCGAGCCATTGCGGGCAGCCTTGACCTTGGACCAGCAGGCGGCGAGCCAGATAGTCCACATGCCGGTGTTGGCCTGCGGGCCGATGACAAAGAGAATGGCCGGGAAGAAGACGAGCGACCAGAAGAGCGAGGCGCCGATGACAAACATGATGGTGAGGCCAAAGGAGAAGAAAAACGTGATGGTGGTGAAGAGGAGCGCGGCCGAGGCGCCGATGGTGGAGATGGCGCCGGAGAGAACCGAGATGCCGACCTCACCGAGCATGGCCCGGACCCGCTTGCGCCGCGATGAGTGCGGGGCGTTCATGTAGCCCTGCGCGAGGTGGGCCACAAAGTCGATGGCCATACCCGGGATGAGGACTAGGAGAATGGCCTCGAGCACGCCGAGCTTCCAGCCGAGGAGCACCATAAAGGCGAGGGTGGTGATGACGATGCAGAAGACGACAAAGGTGGCGAGGAGGCCAACATACAAGTTCTTGGTAGCGACAACGAGGACAATGAGCGCAAAGGTGAGCGAGAGCGCGATGCCGGTAAAGGCCTCGGCGACAAGCTTGTCCTGGATGAACCAGAAGACGGCGGCCTGTGAGTACTGGAAGCCGGCCGACTCGGTCGATACGCCCGCGCACGCCGGCGCCGTCGACTGCAGCGCGTTAAAGTGCGCCTCCCACCGGTCCCAGAGCTTGATGCCCTCTTCAAAGTCGGTGTACTGCGAGGTTGTCAGCCGGAGCTCAGAGTAGACAAACCTGACCTCGGGGGCCGGGCCCGAAATCGTGGCGTAGATGTACTTGGAGTACGTGTTGAGGTTGTCGTCCAGAGTGAGGAACTCGACGGCAAGGTCGCGGAAGAGGGTGTCGTTGGCGCCGGCGCCGGTGGCAGCAGCGTACTCCGACGCGCCGTATGTCGACAAGATCCAGTTCTTGAGCGGGAGCACAAACGAGTCGACGGTGAACGCCGGCGGGCCGCCGGTGGTCAGTGCGTCGTCGCGCGGTTCGCTGCTCTCCAGAATGTGGGCGATGCACTCAAAAGCAACCGGAAGATTGAACTGCGGGCTCCATCGCGGGTTGCCGTAGTCCTGTGGGTCGGTCGACTCGGTGCCCTTTCGATCAATTGGCGCCGGTGGGTGGAAGCCATGGACCATCCGCTGCCGAACTGAGTACACCGACGGGCCACGCGCAAAGCGTGCGACAAGCTCGGGCACAAAGTCCTGGTACGGGTTGCCCTTCGGGAGGAACTGCGGCGGATCCGGGTCGGCACCGAGGCGCGAAGCCATGATGGCCGAAAAGATGAAGAGAGCAATAAAGCCCAGGATGATGGTGAAGCGGAGCTTGTAGATCCCGGATGCAAACGGTCCCTCAAAGCACTCGACAATGACAGAGTTGTGGTGCTCATCCTCGTCGCCGTCGCCGTCGTGCTCGGCCACCTCGCCGTGCTCGACTCGGAAAATGCGGGCCGAGAGTGCCGTCGAGGAATCCGATGATGAGCTCGAGGGAGCCGACGAGGTCTCCTGCTGCTCGTCGCACGAGGCAGAGAGCGTGCTAGTCCACAGCCCCTCTTGCTGCTCCGAGTCGAACTCGTTGACTGTCCACAGCTCATTCTCGGGCGGCACGTCGTCATGATCGGCACAGCAGCGAGGCGGGCAGTGGCGTGAGCACCAAGCCGAGAAGCCGCAGCAAAAGGAAAAGCGCGGCTCGATGATGGTGGCGTAGGTGGTGAGGACAGCCGGGAAAAAGGTGACCACTAGAATGTAGTTGATGAGGATGAGAGTGGCGGCAAGGAGGCCAAAGGTGGAGACGGCCGGGAAGGCCGAGGTGGCGTTGGCGAGGAACGAGGCCATGGTGGTGAGCGAAGTCACAAGCATGGCCTCTGCAGAGCGGCGCCACGAGAATGATAGCCGATGAAGGAGCGAGTACTTTCCGTACGCCTTGGTCTCGTTCCACGTGTCGATCGAGACAAAGATATCGTCGGCGCCAATTGCGAGGAGAAGGAAGAGCGAGAGCGCCGAGAAGACCGTCACCGACTTTTGCTGGAGCACCAGCCGGTACACCAGATACGCCGGGAAGAAGGCGCAGAGGATCTGGAACATGCCGGAAAAGGCGAGGAACCACGACTTGGTCATAAAGCCCATGTAGATGAGGACAAAGGTGAACGAGAGGGCCGCAAACGCAACATCCTGCGGGATGAGCTGCGAGACGTAGAGATCGTTCATGCCAAAGCCCTCCCACACCACCTTGAAGTGCGGCGTGGCATCGTGAACGTTGAACAAGTACTCGTTGTAGGCGTCAAAGAGAAACTGCTTGATCTTGTCCTCCTGCTCTTCGGGCCGGTCCTTGGCCGTGGCATAGCCCGCGAGTGGGAGCGCAAACTGGAACGTGGTCTTGAGCGCAAAGGCCGTCGGGTTGCCGCCGCCGAACCGGTTGTCAACAATGGCGAGAAACTCAACCGGCGTCGCGCCGGCCGCCGCGTACTGCGCGAGCTTGGCGTCACGGAAGACCGGGTCGGCGCGCGCGCC